GACACTTGACTTCGGAAGATGTCATTCGTTTCGCATAATTATTTCCAGAATCTATCTATTTATTTGAGTGATTCTATAATTTTTAAGGTTTTCTCCCTCCATAACGCGTACATTCGTAGTGTAATGGGAAGACGTCCGGCTAGATCGGAATGTCCACAGTTTAAGTTCTCTGCGAGAGCATTGTACAGTTTTATCATTTCCAGCTTCGAAATAAATTATCTAATGGTAGCAATTACTTGATCTTGTTTAAATTATATTTTTCAAATTCCCTCGCCATTTTTACAATATATAGTGTATTATGTATATTAAGTGACTTTAATTTTTTAAATAACTGCCTACTTACTGCATGTGATGAATAATAACTGCCCTCACAGGTAAGAAAAGAAATATTTAATTTTCGGAGAAAATAAAATTCAACATTTTGCTTTCAATACCGTTTTCCTTAACTTCCATAACACTGTTCTAAAGAAAGAATTTTATACAATTTTATTTATTTGTAACGAAATACAAGAGCATAATCCTTTGTCTTGACTCAAAAACATTAATTAATGAAACAGATCGAGGATTTCAATAAATGATTGTTTACTCAGCTACAACGTTTTACTTAACAGTTTGCATTTCATTCGCTATTGTAACGACTGTTCGAGCTTAGTTAAAAGAGCTTAAATATTTAGTGCCTTTTACAGTATAGACTGTGAAAATTACACTTATTAATGGCTTTTTTCAGACCAAGTATGTTAAACTTTCCAAAGTTAATAGATTAATAAGCAGGGGTCATTCTTAAGAATCACTGCACTAACATAAATATATTTATGAAGGAAACACTTCCACTAGCTAAAAACGTGGCATGATTTGAATGCGTCTTTATCGATCTGAGAGTAACATCATTTACATCAAACTTCATTAATTGCGAAAGTAAACATGACGTAGACTCATTATTATGAGCCGCCAGCACAATTTCAAAGTACCTCCGGTAATTAGCAACTGCACCTGCGCCTGAATATGAAGCAGCAATTGAGATTCAACGAAGCTGAAGAATGGCTGGCAGTTTACTTAATTAATTCTATTCCATAAACACGAGCAACTGTCATACTCAGTATCAAAAATACCTTTTTAGTTGAGGTCTTTGCAAATGTTAGGAATGAATTTTAGAATTATACTTATCATATAGATATTTCATTTATTTCGCATTTTATGAAATCCAAATTATCATGAAGAAATTCAGGCAAAATAATCTAGTTTGTAAAACAACCGAACGTTTTAAAAATATTGTGAATAAACAATCACTGGTATCATCAAAAAGCTTATTATTTTAATAGAACTTCATTGACGATGTATACAAATAATACTTTGGATAATTAAATTATTTACAATTATAAAATTTACAGCTCTGCAGTTTCAATAGATGATACTTTTATTTACATATATTTCATTCAAATTTAGTATGTGAAGAAATATTTATAAATAAAATACTTAAGATATTACTTCCTGATGTATTCCTTTAAAAATTCTTTTCTTTCGAAAACTATCTAAAGATTTCGTTACATTTTAAATCTCAGAATTATTATTCTCTCTAGTCTGAAAATAATTTTACAAAAATGATTTATTAAGAATTTAAAAATTAAACGAGTTTGTAACGATGTTAAAAAATAATTAAGTGTAATATTTTAACTAAACATTAATAATTACAAAGCCTTAAATCATTTTGAAATGCATCACTACTCTATTAGATATAGAAACACAAACGAATTTAAGTGGTGTCTTTACGGTGTAGCTCACAAATGTGTTTAATCAAGGAAAAGTTAGGAAAGGAAGAGGAATTTCCAATATCTTTTCATAGTTCTTGGATATTCAAATTCGTTTTATGACACAAACTGGTGGACGTTTTTTCAGTTCTACATAAAATGTTATTCCCAGTTCTAATTATGTTCCATAGCAATCTGATACGACATAGAGTTATTATGGCAGAAAGTGTCTTTCACATATTCCTAAAAATAAAAATTTTGAAACTTGAAGGCGGCCACAAGTTTTCCGAGATCAGTCGATCGCGTACGTGAGGCAGTCTTGTTAGAACCAACGATAACATTCGTTTGGTCCAAAAAAATTCATTGCTGACATCTGCGGTATTGCACCACTTGTATTAAAGAAAAAGTTAAAGCACCACTTGTATTAAAGAAAATCTAGCTCTGCGGATTCGCCTCTAGGTATGGTGCTACATAATTCAACTTACTCTCAGCGAAGAGGAATCTCACTCTTTGAATTTTCAGCAGCTCAAATGAAAGTATTCTGATTGTTGACCCGTTATTCAAGTAAAACCACTCCTTGAGAGTGAAAAATATTAAGTTCGCACTTGAATCGTTTGCATGATGATCAATAAACGATGATATATCTGAAATCACGTTATTTATGCGGTCTCTGAGGCGTTCATAGTCTCACCGCGAACTGTAGGATATATCAACGCATATCATGAACAGCAATATATGCCTCGAAAACATATATATATGCATATATATATATATATATATATATATACACCACACACACACATATCAAACTTGGTATAAATACTGCTAGCGATTAATTACGTCATTAATTCTTCTGCTTAATTCTTTCCCTAGCTTCCGTCTTTGCTAGCGTATCTTCAATGCTCTAATAAAATTATGTTGCCCCATTAACCTGTATAAATTGTATATAAGAAATTATCGTAATTGTTATGTTTAAACAGTATATTGTCTACGAAGAATTATTCTAGTGTGTTTGGAAATCTGGAAATAAAGAGCATAATTGGCTGAACTTAATTTGGTATCATTTCTTCCTCTCATTCTTTCTTTAATATATATATATATATATATTATGAAGCAGTAGCATTAAAAACTTCCCTTAAAAGGTCTGCTTAGTAGAGCAGCTAATACGGTTTTCCTGTGGTGAATCTCGTTTTGCAAAATCAGCTAATTAAATCCAAAATTAAAGAGTGCCTAAAAGTTTAGAATAAATAATTTTAAACCTCAATTTCAGAGACTTTTCAATCACTTATTAGTAGATTAACATTATTATAATTGAAAATTAAATCACATTAATGATGCATAAAATGCGTTGCACGTATCTTTCACTATAATATTTATTCAGATTGCCTCTCAAAAGCACCCTAACCAGTTACGTAATGTTTACATCTTTTGTAATATATTGTATATCTAATACTGTAATCCATTACATGTTCAACCCGGCAACCATTAACATTGCTTGATCTGGGGATTTTTTTGTCTTGTTATGGGATGAATAGGCTATGAGTTTAATTATTTTATTTTTATTTTACAATATTACCAACAGTTGTTGCAATATTCAGCACATAATTGGATTAAGTATTGAAATGCTGTTTTAAAATACATTATATTATACCAAATTCTTGCAAAAAATTATACTCTGCATAATATAAAATTCTAAGTATGCTTAAATAGGTTTTGATAAGTGTTTTAATTGTGCGTACTCGAAATATGACTTATACTTACATAGGTATAGAATACAGTATATATTACGTATATTAAATATAATTTAAAATGAAATTAAAAGCAAATGCAAATATCATATGCATATTCCGTAAAGTAGAGCTAAAACGAAAAATGTAATAGTTACGGAACAATGTGAACAACCACCGAAAAAATTTTTAAAATAAAATTTAAAAATATGTATACGTCTATTCATATTAATAGGAATAAAATGCAACTTTGTCAGCTGTCATGATAATTTTTTTAAAAATGTGCAAGTTCTCCAAGTTTCTTCGCTGACCTTTTAAAACTAAAGAAATTCCGTTTTTTCTTTAAATGCAGAATGTCTAAGCTTTGAAGCAATCTTTTAACTTGCGTGAGTCTACATCGATTGGAAGAGCTGCTTTTGCGCACTGGTGGCTTTACGCTTATTGCTTTACGTGATTTCTTTTCCTTCCCGTTAACGAGCTACCGTTTGCCCAAAACGTAGTAAACATAGCAAATGGCAATTGTTCCAACTGAAGAAAGTGGACCGCATGCATTTTGTCAGCTTTATCGGAAAACGAGAAAGCACCGAAACGTGAGAAAGGGATTTGTGTAGAAATTTAACAGCGGGAGAGATTGTTCAAAAACTGTTATCAACTTGGACTGCAAATGTTCTTGACAAGTTAAAACACCCTTATTTTATAATAAATTTAAATTACAAAACAATTTCAAATGCAATTTTAAATTAAGGCTTATATTTTCATCATTTTTCAACTTATTTGTGCCTACATTACTCTGCTAGACAGCATATTGTGACTTTTATAAATTTTTAATTTATTTCATTAAATGGTTAATTGTATAGTTAAATTGGTTACTTACAAACAGAAGCTCATTTAATTTAATATATCTTTTTTTGCCGGTCATCGTAGCTATTTTTATCAAGCATGTATTGATAATTTTTGACAAAATGTAATATGCTTAATTTTCTTACTGAAGTTATATACAGACTGAAGAAATCAAGCAAAGATGTATCACAATTTTATTAGTATTGACAAAAAATAGTACTAAAAATTTAATTATGGTGGAGAAGTAATATAATGTTTGAATATAGATTGAGATGTTGACCTATATTTTGTTAGTTTCAGATTTAAATCTAGATCAGGTACCTATGCTGATCGCTGTATTTTAAAAAAAAATAGTGTAAGGTAGAATATGTCTTGCGGCCGAAAATTTATTACAATATTATTCAATATTTGTCATAAATGGTTTTATAAACCTTTTCATTTGAATTTGCATTTTTTTAAATTTCAAAAAGTAGTGACTCTCAACTTTAAACCATTTTTCTTGGTTTTAAAATGTACGTAGGGTAATCAAAATGCAGAATGTTAGTGAAAGTTTCCATTTACTTTCACTGCACCAACAAATTTATTTTATTCTTATTGCTATTCTTACAGTTTATCTGAATGTTAAACGGAACAATATTTTAATCCGTTTTCATACTTACACTTTTCTTTTTTTCTTTCACAGGCCCAAACAATGATTGCAGTTGGTACTAAAGTGGACAACTCTGAGAGATCATCAAACTAGTATATTTCTTTTATAATGGAAAAAATTCAGTATACTGTGTTTTTTCTGTTGAGCATTCTGACACAGTATAGCTTCTCGCTCTCCTGTCATCCTAAATGCCAGTGCATATGGAGGAAAGGCAAACAGACAGCAGAATGCTCCTTAGCAGGATTTGAAAGGATTCCTCCTGGGCTTGAACCTACCATTCAAGTTCTGGATTTGACTAGAAATAATTTTACTCTTTTGCCTCCGAATGCTTTCCTCAATGCTGGATTGGTTAATTTGCAGAAAGTATATCTTGCCCGATGTGGAATAGAGCACATTGATGATTTCGCTTTAAACCGAATTTCAAATCTGGTTGAGCTCGATCTCAGCGATAACCTCATCTCTTACATTCCTACAGCAGCATTCCGTCATCTACCATTATTGAGACACTTGATTTTAAGCGGAAATCCTTTAGTCATAGTCCCTTCACAAGCTTTCGTGGAACTTAAAACCCTTATCATTTTAGAAATCAGTAACTGCAAAATTGACACTATTGCTGCCAGAGCTTTTGAAGGATTAGAGAAACTGGAAGTTTTGAAGCTTGATAGTAATGAACTACAAACTCTACATGCAAAAACTATGATGCCGTTTAAGTTTCTTCATGGCATAACTCTCGATGGTAATCCTTGGACGTGTGACTGCGAACTTCGAGGTCTTCGGCAGTGGTTACATGATAATAATGTTCCTTACATTCCACCAACTTGCTATCGACCGGTGAGACTTCGTGATAAAATATGGACAGAAGTCAACATCGAGGATTATGCTTGTGCTCCCACATTTTTGAATACATCTAGTGCCATGAACGTGTTCGAAGGTTCAAACGTAACCTTAGAGTGTAAGGTTTCTGGTGATCCTATTCCGTCTATTCAGTGGTTGTGGAGAGAAAGAGTTATTGCAAATTTATCTGAAGGAATTTCATCTATGCAGACGTTTATCATGTCCGAATACACAGAAAAAGAAAAGTACTCCAAGCTAAAAATATCATCCGTTCAAGAGCCAAATGCTGGAGTATATACTTGCGTGGCTTCCAACACAGCGGGAAAGGTTTCAAAGAATTTCACATTAATGGTTTCAAGAATTCCTGTAACAGGTGTGAAAATTATTGAAGAAGAAAAAACTCAGGAAGTGAAAGAAGAAGAAGAAGATAGAAACAGTTCTATGGCTGGAATGGCTATTGGTATGGTCACTGGTGCAGTGATTGTTCTTGTAGTTCTTTCGATGGTTCTTTGGTTATGCCACAGGAGACGACAGCGCAATGCTCAACGTAAGCGAATTGAAGCTAATCACAAAATTTGTAACTCCGTAAACCCAACGTCTCCTAAAGTTCCCCAGGATGATTCTGATATGAAAATTCTTGGTGTTAATGCTATGGATAAAACGCCTCGAATGGGGGGATACGAAGGTCTTCCCACAAATGAACTGCCAGTAGAATATGATCCTAGAATGGTTGACTCCACTATACCTGGACATGTGTGGATGGTTCCAGATCACATGTCTTCAGCTGACATGGAATGGGATGGCCATAATCCTTCTCAAGATATGATACTGACCCAACAAGTCCTCGTCGAGAAACGAAGCACTGCCCCTATCCCGTTGCCAGTCCCTCAAGAGGATATTCATGTCCGTTTACATCATGAGCTTTCGGATACATTAAGAAAGAAAGGCGGAGATCGTAAAGCAGGCAATGAAAGAGAACGAGGAGATGGCAGCTCTGAAATGGAATCAATTGACCCCGAAGGAATCAAACTAAACTTTGAGTCACCGATCATACGAGAAGAAGAAAGGAATAGCCGTGTTTCAACATTCCTTCCCGAAAAGTGTTCTGAAGAGAAGGGTCCTGATTTGATAGATCATGCTCGTGCAGTACCTGGAGATATTGATGATTGGAAAAATGGTCAAGCGCAACCATGGATGTATGAACAAGGCGCAGCATATTACAGATCTGCAGTCGCTCAGGCAAAGAGCATTACTGCAGCTTCTCGTCTGAGCAGCGATGGCGAGTCCACAGCGACAGAAGTGTAACCTCGTTACTCTACCTCATGTCATATGGACATTTGCCACCGAACGGAAATTGTCGCCGTGGTAATAATCGATTTACAGTGAACTCAGCTCAGACAACAATATGTATAACTCCTGAAGAATTCTATGTGAAATATTGTGCTTCAAAATTTTTACTGATGTGGTGCTCTGACATAACGTTAATGCTCCTCTCAGTTACAGTTGGAAATATTGTATATTTTTTGCGAATGTACCTCATGGTACTATTTGATTTGTACACTAAAACGATGAACTAAAGATGTTGTTGCGTATGCATGTAAACGTTATATATTATACATATACCATATATATATAAATAAATATATATATATATATACATATACACATACACAGAAGTGTACCGTCTATACGACCTAGTGGTGTTGCTCAAATGTGAAGCGGACATTTTCTAATGTGATAAATGAAGATTCCACGTCGTACAAAAGTTTTATCAAGTATATACAAAGTTGTCGAAGTTTGTTTAACAAGGCACACAAAGATTGTTGCCGAACGTGTGTATGTTTTTAATGCCGAGTTCCCTTCCTATATGTTTTTGTTTTTTTTTTTTTTTTTTTTTTTTTTTTTTTTTTTTTTTTTTTTTTTTTTTTTTTTTTTTTTTTTTTTTTTTTTCTTTTTTTTTTTTTTTTTTTTTTGTTTTTTTTTTTTTTTTTTTTTTTTTTTTTTTTGTGCATCGATGGATTTGTGTCTTGAAAAATTGTTACTCACAGTGAGAGCCGTTAATTGGTGCTACGTTTAACGCACCTCGGAAATATCAAGCGGGTATAGGAAGGGTTTTTTTATGCCAGCTGTGGTTCACGTGTGAGAGAAAGATGCAAAATTTTCATTCAGAAAATATTTAAATGAAATATTTTTGACATTGTTGTAGTAAAAGCGGAAGTAATTAGAAGAGTGTAATGCGCATATCCCAGTGATGCCACCTGAAGGCCAGTATCTCTAGAATGTTTATTCAGACGCACAGAGAGCAGATGCAGATTAAAGGTCTTGAAATAGGTTCGAATTGCATATTTGTCGGGATATTATGGCGTATTGCCAAATCAAAGTATCATAGATGTGAGCGTAGAAATGAAAGGCATATTTTCGTAAGTGGAAATTTAACGAATTCTAAGAATACATTATATATAAATGTATTTTAAACTCTTCCACAGCAGGTGCACCACAGCTGAATAAAATAATTTTGTACTATTGTCCTTCGATGACTAAAAATAATAATTTACACTACTAAAATATCCAGAAAAGGTTCTTGATATTTAATTATCTACCGTCTATGTCTGGTCCTAAGAATGTGTTAAGAGGATTAGGCTTTAGTCAATGTTTTCCCCCTCCATGGATCTGGTAATATTGTTTCCTCTGTGCCTTAGTGCGATCCTTACGTAGTTGCATTCTTCTTTACTCAAAGTTTATTTACGAGCTCACAATCCGATTGATTTCCCAGTCGCAGTCTGGACTAAGTATGATAATGTATGACGTGCTAGCGTGTGCACACAAACCAGAATACATATTTTTAAGTATGAGTAAGACATATATATTACAGCATGATTAGACATGAAAACAAATTTTAGCTGAAATCTACACACACATTTTACTTTGCGTATTTATATTCCTACCTTACAGAAGTAAAATGGTTGCAATTACGTTACAGAGAAGGAACACTGAATGATATGTACGAGTTCACATATTTTTTTTCAAATAACATTTTATGTACTACCGGTGTCATAAATATGTTACACTGAGTGTTACAAATAAAATTTCACAGACATATCCATTTTCACAGATATAATTTTCAACAGATTTATTATATGCATTTAAAAATATAATCAGGTTTAAAAAAAATTACCAGAAATATTTTCCTTCAGCCCTAGCTCTCTGAAGCCACTTTTTTCATTCTTTCATTAACATCTAAACACATAAAAAGAATAAATATCAAAGTTAATGTTCATACATACATATTAAAACAGATACTTTTAAAGTAAATAATAAATAATTAGCATTAAAAAAGACTCTAAAATACCGTACCTTAATAAACAAACATGGATAACTGCTAAAATAAACACTAGCATTTATTTTCAAATCTAGTCTCCATTATTTACATTAATTAATATAATCATGTTTATTATATTTAATAACATGACGGATTAAGTTTCCCTTCCGTTAGTCAAAATAATCATGCGGGATCTTTCGAAATAACAAGAAAACTGTCAAAATGCAGAAGATGCGGGAACATCCATCAACAAATGAGACAGAGAAAGAGGATTTTATTTCTAAACAATCATTTGGAATTTAATAAGTTCTTATCTATTATTATTTTATTTCTTTAAATTTAAATTTTGATAACACTTCATCACTTGTTTAAATCCGGGAATGTTCTCTATAAATATGATATATGTTCTCTCTATATATGAAAGATAGTCTAAATAATTTAGGGAGGTGTTTTTTTAAAGAAATATATTATAGTAACGGAAATCATTGTTAAAGAAACTTGCAGCATAATCTACCTTGCAAAGAAATGTCTTAAACTAAATAAATATGAAATCTTAAACTGTATGAAAAATATGTTAAATGCATTGAAATTGTTTACTTCACTCAATTCTTACATTCCATCCACGTAGAACAAACACTGGTATAATTTATTTTCCTATAGCCAAAATTACGCGAAGAAAAGGAATGTTTTTAAGAAATTAGGAAATTAGGAACTTCATATATTAAATTTATTTGAAATGTAATATATGAAGTGCTATTAAAGTTTTAAATCTGATATTTTTGGAACAAATGGCTAAAACTAAGGACATGAAAAACAGATAAAAAGAGCATTAATTCATTGAATAATGATTAATCGCTATGGACAAGCTTATTGTATTATACTACTTTGTATTTCTAATTTAAAAAATTTTTACTTCTGAACTGAAAGTACAGTAAAAGATGGATTTTATGTCAGCGTATAAATTACATTCATTTTAAATAGTTTAACTTTCTAAATTTAAATTAAATTTGCTTGATTTTAATCTTAAAACTTTTCCTAAATCGATACTCCTCCGTCCCCTCCCCAAATAGTAACACAAGAATTTGTTAAAGCTGTCTCTAATACTTTTTTCAAAACACTAGTAATTTAAGATACGTAATTTAAAATCTTATAATTACCCAATAAAGCGTAATTTTTAAGTAACATTTTGACATGTAACCAATTATTTCAGAAAGTTTATTGGGTGCAAATTATTTAGAGATTTAGAGTAACTGAAAGCCCTCAAATGTGGTTAAATAAAATTTCAAATCACAAGTACGAAATGACATTAAGATTCCTCTAGTTACATTTAAAAGAGTAAAAATTAAGATATATATATATAATATTTCAAAGATATATAAATTAAATATATTGCACACAATTTCTGCTTCAAATATAATATGCACACCTCGAATGATACTAATTTATAATCGGTCTAATGAGTTGTTATTAATTATCCACATTATTTTTCTTTAAAGGAGTTATTTATAAACCATGATCTAATAAAAAGTAAATTTTGTTGTATATAGTCAAGTTATGTAAAATTTATTAAGTTACCGTATTAAGGTTAAAAAATCAACATATTTTTAAAATGTTAAAAAACTCGTGTTAAAATATTTCAAGAAGTTATTGAATTTAAATTGTAAATCTGCACCAATGCCAAAGAAAAAGGGGCCGAGGAAGGATGCATTAGATATCATCGTTTATGAGGCAATGAATGATAGTTTTCTTTGTTAAAATGCAACTTTTACTTTCAAGCTGAGTTTAAAAATATGATATTAATGACTTTACAGAAAGAGGTTTCATAGTTATGCATTCAGACAGTCTGCTTTTATTTCTCCTGCTATTTTTAATAATGCTCGCATGCTGCGCCATAAATAGCTATCAAACGTTCCTTAAATACGAGAAGAAAAGAACTCACCTAATTGCTTCCGCTTAAACTTTAAATGTAGACAAAATTTGTCAATTGTTATATAAAACAGAATTAATGCTCTGCTTCTAGAAGTATAATTAAAAATGTTAATTCTTGAGATATTTAACTGCATGAAATTAATGTACATCATATCAAGTCTATGGAATGTTATACCTGACTATTATTACCTCTGGTTCAGAAAAAACAGATGCAACTGAATATTGATGACGAGTTCTGCATGTAACTGTACCTGTAACTACTTTTTTTATATTATTAAGTTATGTACCTATTTTAATAACAGTAACTGTACCTAATTTCTTTAATGGTAAATTTTTGTAATTACTGCTGGCTTTTCTAATACATTACTAGCATTAAAGATATTTTCTTCTTTTTATAAAGAATATAATTTCAACAAAGTAAGTTTATGGTATTTTAAGTCTTTGGTTTAAATGGATATTGTTTAATAACAGGTGAAATCAGTATTATTAACAATAATCGCCCTCTCTTGAATTTCAGGAAGCGGTTCAGCTGATGTTGTATTCTGTCAACAAAACCTTAAAGTACTTGATAAAAATTAGAATGTTTTGGGCTCAAGGTGTATTTACTAATGTATAGAAGTCATATTTACATCTTTATAAAATACTGCCGAAATTTTGAATCCGGAACTTTTAATTATTTTGTAAAATAAAATTAAAATAGTTAAACAATTTAAAAAAAAACTGAATGAGTATCAAAAGGAAAGAGAAAGATTTACGAGTAGTGAACTCAACCCATATTTTGATACTAATATTGCGAATGACCGCTTTGCATGCACTTGTTAACGTCACACTCTCTGCGTACCTACATTTTATTGAAATCCCTCAATGTGTGAGCTCATTTGTAAACCTTTGAGTATCTGCTAGTCTGTAAACCAAATAATAAAGAAAACCTGTGTCTTTGATACATTTTCCGTGCGCGATTCTGTTCCATATTCTGTCCCCTGCTTATGTAACTTGTTTGAAAGAAAATGTAAGTAAAAGATCGTCTGTTTGTAAAGTGCATCAGCCTCTTTATTTCTTTGGATCACTGTTTCCTCTTACATGGTTTTTACATCTCTTACTATTTTAAAGATTCACCTACAATTTTTCAGCATACAAAAATTAAGTATATACTTTTAAAAAATACATCAACACGTGCATTATGTAACTCTTCGCATTTCGATTGTGAACTAAAAAGTGTGTATCTTACATAAAGCAAGTATAAAAATATTTTCTATTGTAATATTTAAAGTTTTTATTAGTTAAAGTTGTATAAGAAATTTATACGTATTAAAACCATAATCACTAACTTACGAATACGTTTTTCCTCATCTATCTGATTATGTCTGTACAATATTTAAAAGGGAAAAAATTATTTAATATTATACACATTTAATATACACATTTTAAATTTATGATTAGTGAAAATAGTTTCTTGATTCATATGTACTCACAGTTTTGCAATGATTTGATTAAGATTTGATTTGATTAAGAGAAAATCTAAAACTTTGATACAGAAATATATGTTATTCTTGGCAGAGATAAATAAAACAGTTTTGCACTGTAATATTTTATTCATATTCAATTAATAACAAAG